CCTTCCTACAATCCGGTAATAAAATCATTCATGAGATTTCAAAGGTATATATTATACGCCCTATAGCCCCTATATTTAATGTTGAGTGAAACGATTGGTTTGCCTAATCAATCATTAAATAATGCTTTTTACCTGTGTAACCAAATTAGGTTTAAAGGCAACAATATAAATCTAATCAAATGTTTTGATAATTATTGAAATAATTAACCACTAAAGTGTACAATGACATTATTGTGGCAATCTAAACTAAACGCTAATAACCACAATGTGAAACCGTATTTATTTTAATGAGGGATAATTCATTAGACTGATTTGAAACATTTATAACATTAACAAAAATATATTTTTACTTAAATGTTAATATGAATGTAGCAGATGGTATCCTTTATAAAGACAAATTATTTAAATCGCTACGAACTCATTTCTAGACTTATTTAGATAATGTAGTACTTGAAAAACAGCACGAAAATATGCAATAACAAAATCCTTGCTCACTGATTTATCCAACATATTATCTACTTAATTAAAAAAGATCCCAAACAATATTAAATTTATTGAAATAAAAGAGAGGGATTTATCCAATATGTGTACTCGTAGCACGTTCAGCGCATATTTCCATAATTTCATGAAACGTCGCTTCATATCTCAATAAAACCCGAACAATATTTAACGTACGTAAGTATCTAGTCTCAAATCTCCAATAGCATTATTTTTCCAATAAATCTCTTGTCATCGGGAATTTAATAAAATCTTTTATTGAATAATGGGTCCCACTTGATGCTTCGATATCTCTGTATATTGGAAACGAGATACTAGGCTTTCATTCACTCTTTACACCCTCAGATAAATGTATATATATATATATATATATATATAACTGGTTATTTATATCTATCTCCCTACCACAAATCCTATTTCACTAATCCAATAAGCTACAACTTTAATAGCAGAGAAGAAATCTCAAAATAAAACAGATGTGAAGCACTTATAATTCTAACAATAGGTATATATTATGTAAGATGAAAATAGAAAAAGGTTTTTTGAATATATTTATTATTGTATTTTGACATAGGTGTGGCTTAAAATCTAAACTCGCCAAACTTTAACGTTCGATGGCGTGAGTTGCCTATTGAAGTAAAGAACGTCTTCCTATGACGCAGACACAAACCAGTAAATTAAAAACATATAACACAAACCACTGAAAATATAACTTCTGATCAACGTAGTTTTATACCTGAAGTAACTTAATTACTACCAGCCAACTATAAATTGTAGGTACTTACATAGCTATTTTGAGATTTGAACTAGAAATTAACTAAATTCTAAGTAAACCCTCTATCTATTTTAAGCTTTAGAAAAAATCCTTGTAGACAAACTTAGTCGTGGATTAACAACCGAAATTATTTAAAAAAATGTCTTCGAAAAATACTCTCTTCACCTATTTCTTAGTGAAAACAAGTCCTTTTGGGCGATTAGAATTACAAAAGGACAAACCCAGACACAGGATAGCTTGATATCTAGGTACCAATAGAGCAAGTACGTACTAAAATAGATAAATCGATATCAGGTAGATCTAGATACGTCTTTGATTCCAGACGTTTAAGTTTAATACAGAACTAGGTTCTTATTTTAATATGAAAAGGACTACGCAATATTGTCGACAAATTTATTCCGTTTAAGGATTAGATAGACGTTTATATATTATTTAAAAGAGAATCCTATTTGGCGTATAAACGATATTACATTAGTTTGACTGAATGTCACTACTGAATATGTTTAAAGATAAACTATTGACTCATTAGACTCGTAACCGGCCAAACCAGTAACAGGTTCTATGTTTTATTTGTAACAGAAATTAGATTTCTCATCAATTTATAAGTTTCAAGCAAAAATGACCCTTAGCCAAAAAAATAATAATAAACTAACGAAACAAGTCCAATTTTGTAAAATTTTATCTATGGCTTTAGTATTGTAAGTACTTTCGTAACTCGTATCCAAAATCAAGATATACGTTATCACCTATCTACATCATAAACGGAAACAACTCAACAAAATACAAGCTTAAGCAATTCAAAGGAAACTGAATCCAAACGTCTTAGAATAGAGCACAAAAACTTGATAAACATCTATATAGAAGACACATTAAAGGATAGGTTTAAATAAACCTTACCACAGTGAGGTCAAAAAGATAACGCTATCGTTGTCTTTATGTAATATGTAAGGTAAAATAAACCTAAAGGTAATATCTAAAGCCGCAATAAAATGAACCTTTATGATAATATTGTACGCCATGTTAGGTAAATACAGTCGCGCATGCCGCGGAAATATGAAACTACGTTGAACTAACTCAAGATTTAGTATTGGTTGTTCAGTGTACCTGTTTGTGTGCTAAACTACCTTACTGAGCTTCCAACTTGTATTATGTTGTAGCTCAAAACTAATGTGCTTAGTTCATGTACTATTTATTTATATAAAGCCCGTTATGAGATTATTATATGCTTATGGTTTACAAGTAGATATTACACGACCATATCATTATTAGTTGGCTAACTAATACCCTAAATTGTCTTTAATAGAAAACAAGCAACTTATAGAAGTAATTTAGTATTGAAGCAACGAAATCTAGCTCAGACATGAACATGTCTAGACTTCATAAATTTGGTACCTGTCGTGATGTTGAGATGGACAAGTATAGTGGAGTAAGTACATCTTGATTTTTTATCAAACCTAGTTCTACTCGGAACCACCATACCAACCAGAAGACAAAAAAAAAACGACCTATACAATACTGAATGAATGATATATTTTATTTCTAAACAAATCTGTTTGTAATATCTTCTCTAGACAAATGTTTTACTGTACGTAAACTGTGTCCAGTATAAAGGTTACATAACATTCAAATCAATACAAAGCTTAGACCAACGACTAGCATTTATTCTCATCGAAGCGACACACGAATTTTCGTCATAAGCTCCATCTACTAAACCTTTATCAGTGTTAGCTATTCAAAAATCACCTTTATTGTCTAGGGTATAAAGCGCTATGGATCGTTACACACGTGAATCGTTTCACAAGGGTTATTATCGTGACTGAAGCTTTGTTAATCCTTTCTATTCTGTAGCAATCGATCCGTAGGATTCGTGCGTGACAATGTAATATAGGGCTTTAAAAATGTTTTGAAAACTGTGATTTGGACACCTAAACTCAGCTTAGGCTACCTAGCCTAGGTTGTGACTAACTTGTTAAAACTTCTAACGTTGTAACTAATTAACTTAACTAACGTTAACTTAAAATATGTTAAATTCCTTAATCAAATTTATTAGAAAATCAACACATTTTCATTGAATAGGTTCATCACAAGCTGTCTCGTTGATCGCGTATTACCGAAGAGCATAATGGTTCAGGTTTGATGGGCAACGTACGTATTGTAATTCTATCTTATTGCATATGATAATTTAACTAAAATAATTAAACTAATATAGTGGTTATTTATTTACAAAACAAAATACACCACCCATTGAGGTCATCTTTGCAAAATTATAGATGTGATATAAGAAACTATTTATCATGCTGAAATTGACGCTTAGTGTACAGTTTTAGGAGTGAACAATGCCTTCTTGTCTCTTTGTATGTCATTGTATGAAATTCAGCTTGTGCGTTTAAAATAGTACAAAAAATGAGATTAATGCCACAGACCTTTTCACTAGTCGATTTTAAATAATGCATTATGGCTTTCACCTGGCTTTAATTAAAATCACGAAACAATATTTCAATAAAACACGGCAATAAACTTTGTGATTCTCACTAAGTAAACCGTCCAAACACATCAAACAGCTGCCTAGTAGGGCAAGCATAGGTCTTCGATCAACAAACTTCCCCCACTGACTTCTAAAACTTTCCATGTACTTATCTCCAAATGTTGCAGTCAAGTCCTCCCTATGCTTCGTCCCGTGTTCGATTCCCAACTGAACTTTGTTGTCACGTTAACTTATCTTTGCACGTGACTTGTTTATGATTCAAGAAAATCGGATTTCGTTTTATGATTTACCAAAATTACTAATAGGACGTCATATCGGATTGAAAATGGTAGGTGAAGGATAACATAAAATGAATTCATATTTCGACTGAAAATTTCAAAATGAAATAATTGTAATGGGCAAACATTGTATTTGTTTTTGTATGTTAACTATTTTATTTAATAATCTCTTGGTACGGAAATACGTTTTCTTAAAAAAAAACCAAAATAAAGTTACGGCAACTTGAATCTAAAAATATCTGAAGGCAAACAGAAACTCGGCTGTGCATCTGTATGACTTCATTAAATCCTTAGTTTGTGTCACAGACGGACCAAGCGGAGGCTGCGTTGGGTTTACGTGTAAAGTTTTCCTCATAAGCTCACCGCAGGGCGCTCCCCTATCAATTGCCGTGATCCCGTGCCCCCGCGCACCGCCTCCCCCCCTGCACTGCCCAAGCAAGCCCCACTAATGATTCCACTTGTTAGGGCTCAGCACGGACCTTCGCCCGTGTCACTTGGTGAATAACAAATTCCTAGCTGATCCCACTTTGCCACCAGAACTTACAAACGTACGTCATAATATGAAGTTTCAGTGTCCCATTGTAATGTTTCGTTGCAGAAGTTATCTTTAATTTCTCATGGCGGTTTGTGTCATTCTCACCTAAGTTGATTTCGATAGATTTAGAGATCAATCTTATAATGTTCATACCAGTCCTACAGTTGATAAGTACCTAGATACATAATTAAGTACAAGGTTTCAGCTAGTCATTAAAAAATCATAAAACTAAAGTAAAAGTTACAATATTCCAAAAACATTTTCAATTTGACTCTCAATAATAATTCTTAGGTGAAAAAGCGTTTGAACTGAACATGAATATTAAAAACACAACACATGCTCGGTAGGAACATAAATTCCAGTTTTAATCTGCCAGACTCATACTCGGCTGACATTCAATATCAGAGATTAATTACATGCAAAACTTACTGTCGAACTGTTGCGTGGCTTGTGCGAGGAGTGAGGCGAATACTCTGTCGGCGAGGGGTGGGGGCTGCGGGGGGCGGTCGTCGTCGCTGCTGCTGTACCTGTCGCCGCCCCACTCCAGGGAGCGCTGGCGCCGCACGCCGCCAGGCCCACTCGGCGCACTGGGCAGCCCGCCCGACAGCCCGCTCAGCGAGCCGGCCTTAGCCCGCCGACCTGGCCGCTCCATCCTCGACGTGCTCATATCATTGTGTCACCACATCTGAAAATTAAAAAAATTTTAAATGAAAATTAAAATTAATTGATACGTCGGTTGACTAGATTACACAATATCCTTAAGCCGTTGACTGCCGACAGAAAATTGTTGAAGGAAACTCTCCGATAACGTAGGTCACCGGTGACCTACGTTATCGGAGGGTTCTACGTTATCGTTGACGCGGCGGTTAACGTGTTAAAATACTACTATTAAAATGTGCATAGTCGTCACAAAATACGCACTAATCTATTTAAAGTTTAGTGTTGTCTAGCATGTGGTAATCACAAAGTAACCGAAAGAAACGTCAGTGTAACTTTCATAAC